CTTATATATCTCAACCGTACAATTGTGCATTACTGAACCCAGAAGTAGTATGACTGAACTCGTAGGAGTAGCAGCGGGTGGGGGCTGGGCTCCTCATCCTCCCACAGCATCAATTAGTTTTTAATTTAATACTACAAGTTCCCAAGTTTTCTGTGCAAGCCTGAGGGAAAAACTGCCCCTCCCTTTGGTTGCTCCAGACTTGTCTAAGCATTCATCACATTGTTGGTATAATAGTACAAAAGGACTTATGTCAAGACTCAAAATGAAGTTAAGGTTCCCACAAACTGAGTGCTTACAAATTTAAGCTCTAATACAAGCCAATGTGGTAAAATGTTTTGATTTTATAAAGTAACTAGACAGACAGATATAGCTACCCTTGTGTTGGCTGCCACGCACACGGAGCTTACATACAACAGAACAAAATGTGGGCTTACTGGAGGGGTTGGGGAGAGAGGCTTTTTGTGGCATGACGTATGTGATGGGGAAGCAGCAAGACAATGGCCGGAGGACAGTGGAGGCAGTGTGGCCCATCCTGCCCTCCCCATGAGGCCTCGGCAGGTGCCAGTGTCCATGTAGTTCTTCAGCCAGTGAAACTACAGCATGGGCACATGCTGCCAGTTCCAGACCCAGTTCCCCGCCGAGCTAGAGAAACGGATTGATAGACAACAATTTGAAGAAACAGTTCAAACTCTAAATAAGCTTTATGCAGAAGCAGAGAAGCTTAGGGGCCAATCATACCTTGAAGGCTGTTTCGCGTGTTTAACAGCAGACACTGTCTTTTTGTGCATGGAAACCCATTATGAGAAGGTTCTGAAGAAAGTCTCTAAATACATTGCAGAGCAGAATGAGAAGATACATGTTCCCCAAGGTCTCCTTCTGACAGACCCCACTGAGAGAGGACTTCCAGTTATTGAAATTGCCACCAGTGCAGACAGAAGTACGAGCAGTGGAAGATAAATCTCAGAAGTAAAGATCCTACCTGCAGCTGAGGCCCTTCTGTATCTACTGGCCGACCGCAGGGTGTCCTTTACCTCCTCTCCACAGCATCGTTCCTTGTATCTGCTGCCAGAGCCACGGTGCCATTTACTCCAAGGACTAACTTTGAAAACTTCTGCTCCTTGAGTGGCCTCTAGTCTCTCAGCATCCACTTTGTGTCTCCAAACGATGCAGGACTCTGTAATCTTTTGGTTGGTTTCTGAGAAAACACAATGAAGCATTTCACTTTTTAATTCAAGGCTGTTTAATCAAATTATGCAGTTGGTCAACCCATTGCAAAACTATTATTTATCTGCAACCATTGGGTTTTCTTTGTTCCTTGGCCTAGATGCTCAGGTAGATTTAGACTGCAGCAAGCCCTATTTTACTCAGTATTCAGTCTTATTACCCCAAGTTAATAAAATGTTTTTTTTTTATCCAGGATTTTGGTCAAAGGTAGACTGCGTTCATAATTTTGCTAACGCATCTCTCCAATCTCAAGGATCAACCAGTTTTGCCATAACTCAGATCTTAAGATCTACTTGTGCTGTTCAGCTTCCGTAACCGAAGCTCATTGGAATAATAATGTATTGTTATTTGTTTCCTTATAGCAATTATTACTAATTAAACCAGTATTTAGTGCCATTTCCAGGTTTTTTAGTTTGTTTTCTTTTTAGTTCTTAATTCTGTTATGATTGCATTGCCATGAATGTTGGGAAGATGTGATGTGTGTTGCTTATTCATCACAAAAAATAAGTAAGCACAAAATGATGGATGATAAGCCATCACACAGAAATATCCCTGCTGTGTCCCCGAATGTGTAATAAGCGAGTATAATAAATATTTTAATTATAGTTTTGTTAGAATATAACTTATGAGAAAAAATTGATAGGAATAATGCTGTATATTGCTTTTAACTATCTTCCTGGAAAACCTTATGAATCATAGACCTTCCTCACATACAGTATTCAGTGCACAGAAATCGTATGATTGGTTCAAGAAAAGTAAGTTAAGTGGTTTCTATGTAAAACTTTCAGTTCTTTGGGCTGTATATTCTTAATAATAGCTAGGCTGTTTGTACCTGACTCATCTTTTGGGTTTGAGAGCTTTGAATTTGAGAAAAACTTCAGAAATACGTTAGGAGGGGAAAACAGTTCAAAGTTTGACTTTCAGAGATATTGTTGGTCTAATACTGGGTTTAATCTTTCAGATTTAATTTCTTTAATGGGTTTGATAGTTCTTCAATAAATTCCTTAGGTCTGTGTACTATTTTAATTGTATAATAAAGCTCCTTTGTTATTTTATAGCCCATAATAGTGTGTCTGTCTGTCTGCCTTTTAAACCCATTGCAATAACTTTGCTGAAATATTTACACATTGGTAAAACTTTTCTTAAAAAAAAGAGCAATATGTTTTTCCTGGTTCTGTGTAATCCCCGTGATCAGAACACGGCAGTGGTGTCACTGGGGAAATGCAGGGAATATGTCTGAGATGGTGACAACAAAATGATAGTCTATACAATTTTGGTACACTGTTGCAGCAGAAGTTTAGTTTTTAGACTGTATATTGAAAATAC